CCCCCTCCACATCAAACCATGACACCCTCCTGGCCACAGGTCCCCCAGAAGGGCAGAGCTTCCCATCACCTAACGCTGAGCACTGGCGCTGTGGGCACCCAGAAGGGTGGCTGGCCTGAGCCCATTTGTGTAGGAGAGAGGTGGGCACAATAGGATGTGACAAAGTGTCAGCTCTTCCGCATGAGAAAACAAGGCAAGGAGCCAGCTGATTTTCAAGGCAGAGCAGAAAAAGCAGGAATTGTCCACTTGCATCAAGCGCAGAGCTGGAAGCAGTGCCTGTGAGTGTGTCACTAATGGGGATCCTGTAAGTGGGAGAGGCGGCGCCGGGCCACAGCCGCTTATCCTGGGATGCTGCTGGGATGAGGCTGGAGACGTGGCACGGCCCCTGGGCAGACTTCAGCAGTACAACTCCAAGCATGTCCAGGAGGAAGAGTAGGCAGAACTGGAGACCCTGCTCCATCCTGACAGCCCCATCCACCAAATCCTGCAAATTTTGGCATTAGCACTGCCGGTCCCTGGGTTGGCTCTGTACTGGGGCTGCATCCCAGCGTGCAAGGGCACAGGGATGGGATACTAGTGACTGGCACAAGCCTCACTGCTCCGTGCAGGCTGCAGCATGGGTGTCTCCTCCTGGGGAGCAGCCAGCAAGGGGAGGTTCATCCTGACAGCCCCATCCACCAAATCCTGCAAATTTTGGCATTAGCACTGCCGGTCCCTGGGTTGGCTCTGTACTGGGGCTGCATCCCAGCGTGCAAGGGCACAGGGATGGGATACTAGTGACTGGCACAAGCCTCACTGCTCCGTGCAGGCTGCAGCATGGGTGTCTCCTCCTGGGGAGCAGCCAGCAAGGGGAGGTTTTCTTCACCAAGGACCACCCCCTCTTCCCCCAGCTTGCCGCCTGCCTCAGAGCCTCTCAGCGGAGACGCAGCAGTGAGGGAGGTCCTCGGTGGCTCCCACTCTCCCACTCCATCTGTTCACTGCTCTGCACTGCTGCACTGAGTGCCTCGGCTGATGAGCGCCATCCTCCCCTCTGGCCGCACATCCCTCTGCCCCCTGAGCCAGGCACCCTGGGGCCCGACAGATGCTGTAAGGGCTCCCGCACCCCAGGCAGCCGCGGCCGGAGGGGGAAGCACTTCGGGAGGGCCGGCAGCAAGTGGGTGCCCATGGGGGAAAGACGCAGTGTTTGATTTCCCACAGGGTAACTCTGGCCTTGGCTTCAGCATAGCGGGAGGAATCGACAACCCCCACATTCCAGATGACCCGGGTATCTTCATCACCAAAATCATCCCCGGGGGAGCAGCAGCCATGGACGGCCGTCTGGGGTGAGTGTACAGGGCTGGAGGAGCAGCCCCACTCGGGCATCATCCGGGATCTCCCCAGGGACCCTCTAGACAGCTCCTCCTTCCCTCCCCTGCCATGGGCCTTGGCACCCCCAGTCCCTTCCCCACAGCCAGGTCCCTTCAGTGCAGGGATGCCCATGGTTCCCTGCCATCAGCCTCCTGTCCGCAGCCACCCCTCCTCCCCTCCCTGGGCCAGGCTCCAGCTCCCATCCTTGCCCCTGCAGCCCAGGGCAGGATCCAGCCTTTCCCCTCATCTCCCAGGGTCACACCATAGTGACCAGCCCTGCTGCCTCCCCCTTTGAGAGGGACCCCAATCCCACCCCAGCAGGGCAGAACCTGGCCAGCTTGGTCAGCTCTCCTTTGCACAAGGACCTGCGTGGCTGAAGGAGAGTGGCAGAGATGTCCAGAGGAGCATGGCACGGGCTGGCGGTTCCCCAGGGGAGCTCAGGGCCACCCTATGCCCACAGGGTGAACGACTGTGTCCTGCGGGTGAACGATGTGGACGTCTCCGAGGTGGTGCACAGCAAAGCTGTGGAGGCCCTGATGCGGCTCGTGGGGCCCCGCCGGCAGCCCCCACCAGAGACCATCATGGAGGTCAACCTGCTGAAGGGCCCCAAAGGTGAACCTCTTACTCTGCTCACAGGACCAGGGTGCCCTGCTGCCCCGTGGGATGATGTGGGATGCCACAGGGTGCAAGGCAGCATCACAGGAGATGTGGGGTGCGAGCTGGCACTGCCACAGTGGTGGCCATCGCAGGGTGGCCCAGGAGCATGGGACGCTATGGGGCACGGGGTGTGGGACAACCCCCATGGGGCAGTGTGTGCTGGCTGGGCTGTCCCCGTGCAGAAGTGGGGTGGCCCGTTGCCTGCCAGGTTTGGGGCAGCGTGGGAAGCCTAGGGAGGCAGAGAGGTCGTGATGCCAGCCTGGGGCTCCATCCATCTGTCTGTCCCTCAGCCCTCACCTACCCTCTCACTACCCCTCAGGCCTGGGGTTCAGCATTGCAGGGGGCATCGGGAACCAGCACATCCCTGGGGACAACAGCATCTACATCACCAAGATCATCGAGGGAGGCGCTGCCCAGAAAGACGGGCGTCTGCAGATCGGGGACCGGCTGCTCGCGGTAAGCCCATGCCTGCAGCCAGCTGTAAGGCAAAGCTAGGCAGTCTCTGCCGTGCCGTGGTGCCGATCCTGAACGCCAGCACCCCTCCCGCTGGCAGCCCTGCACCTCTTCTCCGGGGTCCCCACTGGGACGGTGCTGTGGGAGGGGCAGGGTGCGGCCCCACCGGCGGGGGAACCCTGTCTCTGGAGCTCCTGCAGCACCTACCCTGCGGGAAACCGCTCCGCTCCCACAGGGCTACATCGGCCCCTGCCCTTGCTGCCTGCTCCCCTGCCTGTGGCCATGTCACCCAGCCCCTTCCTTCTGGCAGGTGAATAATACGAACCTGCAGGACGTGCGGCACGAGGAGGCGGTAGCCGCCCTGAAGAACACCTCCGACATGGTGTACCTGAAAGTGGCCAAGCCTGGCAACATCCACCTCAACGACATGTACGCGCCCCCTGACTACGCCAGCAGTACGTACGCCGCCGGCCGCTGGCACAGCAGCCCAGGCACTGCAGGGCTGGGGGGAATGGAGCGTGCTGGGGCGGCAGGCAACGCTGGTCTGGCCTCCATGTCTGCCTTGTGGATGGATTTGTGCTCCTGATGCCCTTCTCCTCCCTTGCAGCCTTCTCAGCCTTGGCTGACAACCACATAAGCCATAACTCCAGTCTGGGCTACCTGGGCAGCGTTGAGAGCAAGCCTGCCTACCCTGTCCCTCCCCAGGTGACTCCGTCCCGGTACTCACCCATCCCTCGGCACATGATCGGGGACGAGGACTTCACTAGGTGAGTACCAGGCATGAGCATCCCCTAATCCCTGCTCCTTCTTCACTTTCTTTCCCTTCCCAGCCACCTAACCTCATCCCCACTGCCAGTGCAGAGCCTCAGCTGAAAGCCCATTTGTGGGTGCTTGGGGCCCTCGCGGTGAGCGCTGTGCCCACCTCCCCTGAGACTAGCCCTGCTCTGTTGCTCCCTGGCTCACTGCATCCCCCCTTCCCCTTTCCCCCTTCGACTCCTCCCCGAGCCTTACACATCTGCCTTTCAGCTTTGTTCTCTTGCTTATTTTACAATACCCGGAATACAAGGTGTTCCCTGCCCTTATGCTGCCATCCAATGCCAGCAGCACCACAAGCTCCCAGGCTGCAAGCCAGTTGTCCCTGAGTGAAGCTGTGCTGGGAGTGAGGGGCTGGGAGGGGCTTACTCTGGGTACAAGTAGGGTTCCCCCTCCCGTGCTTCCCAAACCTGACATTCCAAACCACCTGCACCCAGGTGCCCAGCTGCCAGCCCCAGGCTCAACAGCATCCCGCACAGCCCTGGCATGGCCCCTTTTCCCCACTAGCATCATTTACTCTGCATGAGCAGGTTTGTTTCCTGAACCCAGGAAATAAAAAAGGAGCACAAAGGCTCTAAGCCTAAATGTGGTGTAAAACTTCTCCAAAGCCTCATGCTGAGAATGGGAGAGCAAGACTTGGCTGGTCCTGCTCCACTTGCCCGGGCTCACAGCTCGTCCTCCCCCTGCGACAGCCTCGGGGCCAGTGCTGAGCTGGCTCTGGGTTTGGTATCGCCAGGGCCAGGGCTGTAGGGCTCAGGCTGTGTTCTTAGGATTGACGCTTGAGTTAGGCTTAGGGCTGACTGGTTAGGAGTGAGGTCACAGGCTGGTTTTGGGTTGCGTTTACAGCAGAAGATGCCATAGACTCAGCTGGGATTGTCCCATTCTGCGGGGTGCTGGTGAATGCCAGAGCAGGAGATCCTGACTTGCCATCCGGTGTCAGGTCCACTGTCCTCCCAGAGAGTGGCTGCGTTTGCCTTCATCACGGGCATTTCTCACTTCTTGGCGCTTGGCCACGGCCGGGTGCCTCTGTGCACCATGACCTGCACAAGCATTGGCCTCCACTCGCACCCCGTCTCTCCTGCCTGGCCTCAGCACCAGCGATGCCAGTTCTACAGCCTGTTCCTGGCACCGCATTCTCACTGGTGTGGCAGCTTCTGTGCTATAAAGGCATTGGGGGACGATGCCACGCCCAGGAACAGTGCTTTCTGCCATTACGTTGTGCCACAGAAGGGACTGAGTCTCAGCGCTCGGAAAACACATCATCTGTCTCTCACCAGGGACCCTGGTCCCACCAGGGTGTCCCTTCCTACATGGGCCAACGTCCTTATTTGTGGGCCAGAAAGCTGAGAGAGCAGCCCAGCCCGGGCTGGACACAGCCCAGTGGCAATGGCACGGCGATGGCTATGCAATGGCACAGCAGTGGCTCAGCGGTGGCCCTGGTGCAGCACGTGCCGGTGGCCGCTAGAGGATGGTGCTGCCTTGTGAAGGAATGTCCTCAGCCACAGCCCCCTGCTCCCCTCCAGACTGGCAGCCTGCGATAGGCTCAGCACCTCCCTCATCCATCCCAGGGCAGCACTGAAAACCTCACATGCATCACCGACCACCCCAGGACAGCTTCATCGCCACCGGTCTGTTGGCTCATGCATCACCAAGATTGTGCACTGGGACCACTGTGGTCCGAATGCATCTTACGGGTGTGTGGAAAGGCAGCGACTCCCCTGAAAAAGCAGCTGTCTCCCAGAAGGCTTCTGCCAGCCATTCCCCAGGAGAAGCAGAGGTCCTGGCCTGGATCCAGTATGAAGTCTCTTCCCCTCTCGCGGGCACAAGTGCTGCTGCAGATGTGGACATGGCTCCAGTGACCCTCAGCGTCCTGCAGCACCCAGGGCCAGGGACCAGAGCATCTCTTTTCCAATGAGCTCCATCACTGCAACCCAGACCTGGCATGGCCACACAGGATCCCCACAGTCACTCTGTGCCAAGGTCCCAGTGTTAACACTGCAACGTTCAGCGTGGGATCAGCACATCCTGCTGCCTGGGATGAGGATGGAGGCAGAGAGTGCGTATCATGACTGAGACTTGAGATGTTCCTGTCTGGGGCTTCATTTCCTCTCCTTGGTTCCTGTAGCATCTCTCTACCTTCCACCAAACCGTCTGGTCCTCATAGATGCTGGGTATTCTTCCCACCAGGCCGAGCCGAGGTCGTGGTTCCTGCACTCTGCTTGGGCAGCAGCAAAGCTCAAGGGGCAGAGCAAGTTCATGCTGGTTGGAGGCAGGGTTTGCAGATCCAGAAATCTGACCTATTTCTTCCCCTAGGAGAGCTCTAGCCCCAGGCACAGGTTTGCTGCAGAGGGACTGATGGCTGCACCCTTCCCTGCCCCCTCATGACCGTCCCTGAGCCAAGCGCCAGTGGCATCCCGAGGACTTGGGGTTGAGCCTCTTTGACCCCAGTGGCATTTCCATGGTGTTTCCCTGGTCTCCTCCTGGTCCTGGTGCATCCCAGCCCCATGCTACAGTTCAGCCAAGTCCTAAGGCCCCCTTAGAGCTCAAATGCAACCAAAGGCCATAAGGATAAAGCAAGTATTTTGTGGAGGTCACAAGGTAGATGCAGCCTCTGCCCAACCAGAAGTGCATAGCTGGAGTTATTGCTCTGCTGTACCTCTGCATTTGAAGGCAATGGGCTGTGGTGGTGCACAGTGTGTGCGGAAGTGTAGGCATGAGGAGCTGGGCTGTGAATTTGCCCTTGCTTCCGTGCTCCCCCCAGGTGGGGCCATGTTGTCTGTGCCTGCAGGGGCAGGAAGGAGTTAAGTCTGTAGAGTCTAGCAGAGCATAGGCTGCATCATTTCACTGCTTCCATAAAAAACCCTGTGTATGAGTCCGGGAAGCTG